GTTTCGTGGCCCCATAGGGAGCTCCACCGAAGGTCCCAGTGGGTGTGCCCGCATGCGTCCCGCACACCCATTTTGGCACACCCTTCACACGTTTCGTGGCCCCATAGGGAGCTCCACCGAAGGTTCCAGTGGGTGTGCCCGCATGCGTCCCGCACACCCATTTCGGCACACCCCTCACACGTTTCGTGGCCCCATAGGGAGCTCCACCGAAGGTCCCAGTGGGTGTGCCCGCATGCGTCCCGCACACCCATTTCGGCACATCCCTCACACGTTCCGCGGCCCCACAGGGAGCCCAACCGAAGGTCCCAGTGCCCAGGTCCCAGTGGGTGTGCCCGCATGCGTCCCGCACGCCAATTTCGGCACACCCCTCACACGTTTCGTGGCCCCATAGGGAGCTCCACCGAAGACAGTGAGTGTGCCCGCATTGCGTCCCGCACACCCATTTCGGCACACCCTCACACGTTTCGTGGCCCCATAGGGAGCTCCACCGAAGGTCCCAGTGGGTGTGCCCGCATGCGTCCCGCACACCCATTTCGGCACACCCCTCACACGCTTCGTGGCCCCATAGGGAGCTCCACCGAAGGTCTCAGTGGGTGTGTGCGCATGCGTCCCGCACACCCATTTCGGCCCACCCCTCACCCGTTTCGTGGCCCCATAAGGAGTTCCACCGAAGGTCCTTGTGGGTGTGAAATTTCGGCACACCCCTCACACGCTTCGTGGCCCCATAGGAGCTCTGCCGAAGGTCCCCGTGGCGCAGTCCGCATGCGCCCCCGCCGATCATGTCGGCCCACCCCGCACACGCTTCGTGGCCCCATAGGGGCTCCGCCGAAGGTTCCAGTGGAACAGTCCGCATGCGTCCCCGCCACTCATGTCGGCACACCCCTCACACGTTTCGTGGCCCCACAGGAGTTCCGCCAAAGGTCCCATTGGCACAGTCCGCACGCGCCCCCGCCGCTCATTTCGGCCCACCCCTCCCACGTTTCGTGGCCCCATAGGAGCTCCGCCGAAGGTCCTGGTGGCACAGTCCGCATGCGTCTCCGCCGATCATGTCGGCCCACCCCTCACACGTTTCGTGGCCCCATAGGAGCTCCGCCGAAGGTCCCAGTGGCACAGTCCGCATGCGTCCCCGCCATTCATTTTTCGTGTCCCCATAGGAGCTCCGCCGAAGGTCCCCGTGGCACAGTCCGCATGCGCTCCCGCCATTCATGTCGGCCCACCCCTCACACGTTTCGTGGCCCCACAGGAGCTCCGCCGAAGGTCCCAGTGGCACAGTCCGCATGCGTTCCCGCCACTCATTTCGGCACACCCCTCACACGTTTCGTGGCCCCATAGGAACTCCACCGACGGTCCCCGTGGCGCAGTCCGCATGCGTCCCCGCCATTCATGTCGGCACACCCCTCACACGTTTCGTGGGCCCATAGGAGCTCCGCCGAAGGTCCCAGCGGCACAGTCCGCATGCGTCCCCGCCATTCATTTCGGCACACCCCTCACACGCTTCGTGGCCCCATAGGGAACTCCACCGAAGGTTCCAGTGGAACAGTCCGCATGCGTCTCCCTTGCCTTGTACAGCGTTACGTGGCCCCATATGGAGCCCCACCGCAGGTCCCAGCCAGCCAGCTAGCTCTCTTTGCTCCGCGCAGCGGGCGACCCGCGCGCGTCGCTGGGACCCCTCCGGGGCGATCTGCGCGCGTCGCGGGGGATCCGTGCTGCGTTTTGCCCAGCGCCTCGCTCGCCCGTCGTCGCTCTGCCCAGCGGCAAGAGCCTTGCCCGCCATCAGCCAGCCAGCTAGCTCTCTTTGCTCCGCGCAGTGGACGACCCGCGCGCGTCGCTGGGACCCCTCGGGGGCGACCTGCGCGCGTCGCGGGGACTCCGCGCTGCGCTGCGCCCGCAGCCTTGGACTTTTGAGTGAGCGGACAAAGACGGAGTAAAGGAAGGGGAGGAAGCGGGCGCGATCCACGCGGGGGGGCGCGCCGACATTGGCGTCGCGGCGCGCGGGCGATGCCGTCGGGGAGTCCCGGGGAAGCTCCATGCGGCGGCCACGCCCAGCGTCACGAGTACTCAGAGGCAGTCATTGTCAAACTAGTGACATTCATACAGAATTGCACCACGCTTTGTCATATTTGCATTCATGCACGTAGATTCGCTCGCAAGCAGATTCATTCACAGTCAGACGCACGCGCGCAGATTCACCCGCGCTCAGTCTCCCTACGTACTCAGATCAATCCTTTTTCGTTCGCGTTGTGTACCACGCCACTCATGTCGGCACACCCCTAGCACGGTCCGTTGCTTCATAGGGATCGCCACCGAAAAAGTGAATCACTATTGCGGTACTCACACCTGCATATGGTTGGGTCCCTCGTCAGGCGAATTTGGAGCCGCACGTTTTCGCCGTGTTTCGGGCCCCGGGACCTTCACATATCGATCTGGTTTGAAAACTTTTGCAGAAAGAGGGGGTCTAGGGTTCTGGGCGTGTTTGTTTACGGTGTTGCAGTTTTTTTCGCTGCGTCGGATCTCGGGCTTCCCCTATGTTTGGCAGCCGGGCCCAACGAGGGCCCCCAGAGGCCGAAAGCGACGAAAAACCGCCGGCCTCATTTGATCAATACGTTGGATCTCTCGACCTCTGGGAAGAGGAGAGGGGCGGAAGGGGATGTTGCTCCCAGACACCCGACGTCAATGTTTTCGATCACATCGACCCCCAGAGGCCTCGACCCATTCCCCTGGGCAGCTCTTCGCCCTGAGCCGTATTTTGACGGTCCCGAGGCCTAGTAAGGGCCCCTGGGGGCCCAAGATAGCGAAAAAAATCCCGTCGTTTTCATTGCCCGAGGGGGCCTCGGCTGGGCGGTCGCTGAGAAGAGGGGCGATCTTTCGATCGAGCTGTGAGGGTGCCCGGCCCGAAACCGGGCGAACGCGCCCGGCGTGAGAAACTGGCGGCGCCCAGCTCTCGGGGGCTGGACAGACGTTGGAGGTCTCGGGAGGCAGAGGGACCCTCGACCTGCACCTTCTGTTCCCTCCGCGCGGAAGGTGCCCGCCGCGATGCGGCCGCAGAGGCCGCGGCAGCGCGACACCTGCCGTGCGGAAGGCGTGGAAGGCGCAGCTCGAGGGTTTGGCGATGGACCCTCGTTGACCGCACCAACCCAGCTGTCGCGCCGAAAACCGACGAAGACCGTCAGGAAACCGCCGAAGACTGCCGAAGACCGCCGGCGACCGCCAGAAGGCCGCCGAAGACCGCCCAGGGCTGCTGGGCAGCAAGGGGTCCGTCGTCGAAGGCGCAAGAGCCCAGACATCCTCCGACATGAGTTTGCCATCCGCGGCCCCAGGGCTCGACTCCCGACCCATTGCCCGGGGGCAGTTCTGCGCCCCGGATCCACCTTTGATGGCCCTGGGACCCAGACCTCCTCGCGTCGTGAAAAAATCACGACGGAGGTTTTTCGCTATTTTCGGCCTCCGGGGGCCCTTCCCGGGCCTCGGGGCCGTCAAAAAACGACTCAGGACGAAAAACCGGTCCCGGGGAAGGGGTCCAGGTTTCTGGGGGTCACGTCATGAAAAATTCATGACGTCGGGGGTCTGGGGACCCAGGCCCCGGAGGCTGAACTCCAGGAAGAACACGTTTGGACTGAGAAGGTCGCATCGCCGGAGATCTGGGAACTCCCAGGCCCCCGAGGTCATGATTTTTCCACAGCGTCGACCCCCAGAGGGCTGGACCGCCCCTTCCCCGAGACTGGTTTCTCGTCCCGAGCCGCTTCCTGACGGCCGCGACGCCCAAAGCACGGGCCCCCGGAGGCCAGAATTGGCGAAGAATCTCCAGCCGTGATTTTTTGTCACGGCGCGAGTGGGTCTGGGTATGCAGCAGATTTCGTACCCCCCCCTTCCCCCATTCCTCCTCCCCTTCATCCTCCCCTCCTCCTCCTCCTCCTCCTCCTCCCCCTCCTCCTCCTCCTCCTCCCTCCTCCTCCTCCTCCCTCCCTCCTCCTCCTCATCCTCCTCCTCCTCCTCCTCCTCCTCCTCCTCCGCGAGGGGGTCTGGGAGTGTGGCGATGGCCAGGCCCTGAGGCCCGAAGTGGCCAATGATTGCAGCATCGACCAGAATCACCCCCAGAGCCCCCCACCCACCCTCCTCCTCCTCCTCCTCCTCCTCCTCCTCCTCCTCCTCCTCCTCCTCCTCCTCCTCCGCCTCCTCCTCCTCCTCCTCTCCGCGCCACGTTTCGAGCAGCATCGATCTGTGGGGGCCCCAGGGCACGCAACAAAACCGAAAGCGCCTGGCTCCAAAAGATTGGGATCCCTCGGAGGTTGATAGACCTCCTACCCTGGCACGTCGATCAGCGAATTGGCCGTTTTCGGTTTGCGAGAGGGCGTCGCGGCCGTCACTTTTGCGGGTCCAGGTCCGTCGGTTTCGGTCCCAGGCCGTTGTCATTAAAGGGTGGTTTGCGAAAGGGAGGTTTGTCCACCGCCGAATCTCAGGAGCAAACGCGCCCCTTGTTTTTACGACGCTGCATGTTCAAACTCATGGGAAGGATTGTACCAGTGGAGCCAACAGTACACGCTCGAGATTGTAAAGCAACCCTGTGTCACGGCATCTGAGCTCCGGCGCTCTGGCGCCCTCGCCGAGTTCCTATATGAGGGCCGCCCCCCGGGAGGAGTGCCCAGACCCCCGACGTCGTGATTTGTTCACAACCTCGACCCCCAGAGGTCTGGACCCCTTCCCTGGGGGCCGGTTCTTCGTCCCCAGTCGTTGTTTGACGCTCCCGAGGCCCGGCGAGGCCCCCTGGAGGCCGAAACTAGGGCAAAACCTCCCGTCGCGATTTTTTTTCACAACGCGAGGGGGTCTGGGTATGCAGCAGATTTCGTACCCCCCCCTTGCCCCACTCCTCCTCCTCCTCCTCCTCCTCCTCCTCCTCTTCCTCCTCCTCCTCCTCCTCCTCCTCCTCCTCCTCCTCCATCCTCCTCCTCCGCGAGGGGGTCTGGGAGTGTGGCGATGGGCAGCCTCGGGCCCGCGGCCATCGACAGCCTCCTCAGCTCCCGCGTCAGCTCGGCCACCACGCTGGCCGGGCCGCCGGGGAGCTCGCGCGGCCCGGCCGCGGGCGGGCCGCCGTCCGCGCGGGGCCGCCCGGGCGGCGGCGGCCTCAGCAGCCGGAGCGCAGGGGCCACCAGGAGCCTGGGCGTCGCGCGGTGGGAGGGAGGAGGAGGAGGAGGAGGAGGAGGAGGAGGAGGAGGAGGAGGAGGAGGAGGAGGAGGAGGAGGAGGAGGATGGAGGAGGAGGAGGAGGAGGAGGAGGAGGAGGAGGAGGATGGAGGAGGAGGACGAAGCGTCCTGGCTCGCCTATAGCTCTTCCAAGCAATGTTCCAAGAGCCTTTTTTGTGGCTTCCGCGAAAAGTTCTCAGAACATTTCTGGCCAGGACTGTCCTGTCTTAACACATCGGGCGTATGTTCTGAGAACAGTGTGCTGGTTATGAGAACATTTCTGGCTGGGACTGTCTTGTCTTAACACATCGGGCAACAGCGTGCTTGTTCTTAGAACATGTTTGGGTTCTAAGAAAATTTCGTGGTAGGACTATAGGAATGCCGGGACGGTCGGTCCCTGCTCAAGTGGGAGGCGATGGAACCCAGACGTGATCGCGTCTTGAAAAAATCAAGAACCAGGAACTCGGGCGTCGCGCAGAGGGAGGCGATGGGACCCAGACTTAAGTCGGGCCTGTCCCTCTATACAGGAGGAATTTTCAGGACCATTTTGGGGGGGCATTACTTGACCAATTTTGAATTTTGGTTTGAGCACTTTTTATCGTTCGTCTAAAATCCCCCTGTGGGGGGGACAGGCCCGACCTAAACCCAGACGTGATCGCGTCTTGAAAACATCCGGGCGGGAGCGGCTCTTTCTAGCCGTGTCCGGCCTCGGGAGGCCCTTAAGCCGGCCCTCGGGGCCGCCCCGAAGAGCCACATCCGGGAGGAAACACCGGTCCTTGGCACAGGGTCCCTCGGCATCGCTCGGGCGTGTGCACCTGTCTCGGCGAGGACCATCCCCAGACCCCCGACGTCGTGATTTTTTCACGACGCGACCCCCAGAGGTCCCGACCCCTTCCCCGGGACCAGTTTTTCGTCCCGACTCGTTTTTTGACAGTTTCGCGAGGCCCGGGAAGGGCCCCCGGAGGCCGAAAATGGCGAAAAACCTCCCGTCGTGATTTTTTCACAACGCGAGGAGGTCTGGGCTCGGCGAGGACCATCGAGGAGCATCCTGGATCGTCGAGCGAAACAGGCACGCGCGAAGCCGAGCGGTGCACGGGAGGTGGGCGTCCGAGCGATGGCAAGGGGGGGAGGGTCCCAGGGTCCGGGAGGGCGTCGCCAGCGCAGGCCTCAGAGGTGGCGCGCCGCCGGCTGCTCAACTGCCGCGCGGAAGGCACGGAAGGGGTCGAAGGAGGAGGAGGAGGAGGAGGAGGAGGAGGAGGAGGAGGATGGAGGTTCTCTTAGATGCAGACAAGTCCTCCTGGCAGATCATCCTCCGCACAAGGCGCCTGCGGCATCTTATGCGACTCTTGTTCTTTGGTGACCAACAGCTACTGCGCCTCGTTGACCTACTCTGGGAGGAGAAAGGCAGCTGGAATGTCTTGATTTGGGAAGATCTGATCTGGCTTGGTGAGTTTGTCTCTACTGATGAGATTCCACTGGAGCAGCGTCAGGACATACGCACCTGGACTGACGCCTTCAGAGCTTGGGAGTATGCTAAGGCCATGAACCTGATCAAGAGAGTGGAACGCAGAGCACATGCATCTCAGATGGAGTATTTCAGGCATGGCGTTTGGCAGAGACAACTCAGATCTTTGGCTCAGGAGGCGGGGCTGCCACCTCCGCCCTTCGTGGAGGCGGATCGACCCGAACGAGGACAAGGTTTCATCTGCTATGACTGTGGCAAAATCCTGGCAACACGGGGCACGTGGAAGAGGCACCGCACAGTCGAGCATGCACAGCGTGATGATGACCGATATATTAGAGGCACGCTTTGCTCGAACTGTGGCAAGGACTTCCACACCCGTGCTGGACTTCTTCGACATCTCAAGTACAGAAGCCTCAGATGTATGGAGCATTGTCGTGCCACAGTTGTTCCATTAAATGACGAAGAGTTGGCAGCAGCTGATGTCGAGATGGCAGAAGATACCAGAAAGCTCAAAAGTTGTGGATTCAGGGCGGCCAAGGCCATGATGCCGCCGAAGGACCCAGACCCATATTGGATTACGACGATCCCGACCTGGGCCCGCCCTCTCGAGCCAGCTTGCCCGCCAGCAGCACCAGCTGACGAAGACTGCCTTGGTCACCAGCAGACAGTGTACCCCTCGACAGTGGACAGACCGACTACGTGGCACTGTAACCTGGTACTCCACCTCTTCAGTGGCCACAGGAGACCCAATGACATCCAGGATCACCTGGAGAAGCTAGCAGCAGAATGGTCAGTCCCCTTGATGGTGCTCTCCCTGGACGTGCAGAACAATGCGGACAGAGGGGACATGTCCAAGAATGACAACCTTATGTTCTGGAAGGCAGCCATGCTGGCAGGGCATGTGTGCGCGGTGGTAGGAGGACCGCCCTGCGAGACCTGGTGCCCGGCCAGATGGCTGGATGATGGCAGGGGGGGCAGACAGCCGAGACCCCTCAGGACGAGGAGCAGGCCTTGGGGCATCGGCAGCGTGACCCAGAAGGAGAGGCAGCAGATCGACCTGGGCAACGCGTTGCTCCGCTCCTGCCTCCTGCTGCTCCTGATCGGCCGCCCGCTGGGCATCACAGGGCTGATGGAGCATCCAGCCCCAGCACCCTGGAGGCCACAGAGCATCTCCTCCTGGGAGACACCCGAGATCTCCTGGGCGCTCGAGCTCCCGGGGGTGGACTACGTGCAGGTGGACCAGTGCGCGTACGGCGCGCGGTCGAGGAAGCCGACGGGGCTCCTGGCGGTGAACGCCCCCGAGCTCCGCCTCGCAGTGGACGCGGACCCCCAGGGCGGCCGCTGCCGGCATGAGGGGGGCCACCCAGCGGCAGCGGGCCGTGACGAGAACGGCCGCTGGCGCACCGCTGAGCTGAAAAGCTATCCGCCGGCCTTTTCGCTTTTGCTCGCCAAAGTGCTCTTGGGGCACCAGGTGTCGAGGCTCAGCCGGGCCTGGGTTCCCTGGGGAAATGACCTGGGGACCTCGGCTTTCCAGGATTTCTTTGTCCCACTCGACCCATATTTCAATTTCCAGGCGGGTCACGACTGTTACCGTCATGTCTAGTGCTCGTTGTCCTCCGTCGACACGACGTCGACGCTGTCCTAGAGTCGCCAGCAGTGCACGCCCACTCCCTCCTCCTCGGCCCAAGGTTTTCTACTATCCTCGCCCCTTCCTCCTCGACCTCGAATCGAGTGGGATGAGTCGGTGCCCGAGCACGTCGGGCCACGTCGACAACTTCGTGGCCCTGGCCGAGCTGGAGGTCTTGTACGGTGTAGGCCTTTGCAAAATCCCAGGCAAAATCCCAGGATGGAGGAGGATGGAGGAGGAGGAGGAGGAGGAGGAGTCGAGGGTCGGTGATTTTCGGTGCGCTTCGCCCTGCTCGTGACGCCAGGCCCCCTGCACGCCTCGGGCTGCCCGGGGCGTTCCCAGAGCCTCGGCGTCGGGTGCTCGTCCACGGCGCGGCTCTCCAGAGGTCCGGGCCCCTGCCACGGGGCCAGCTTCTCATCCCGAGCAGGTTTCGACGGCCCCTCGGCCCACCGGGGACCCCAGGAGGATGAGACTAGTCCTCGGGTCCCTCCCCCACCAGGAAACAAAACCAGGGCCTCGACAAATTTGTTTTGTATTTTTTTGCCATATTGATTGGTGGGAACAAATGCGGTCGTCGCCGCGCGCTTGCCCTGATTTAGCAATGTCGGTCGACGGACGCACGCGAAGCGGACTTAGGACTAAGTCCCAAGTCCGCCGCCGTGATTTTTCCGCGACGCGATCGAAACTGTCCGGTTTTCGGGCCGCAGCTTTTGAGTCGGGCGTGTCCCTCTGCAGGGGGCACCTTGGGAAATAGCAACCAACTAGTCTGGGAACTATGTTTGAAATTAGTTGTTGACCATTTGGGGGTATTTTTGACGTTATATATATAACCATATATGGTTGCCCCCCCCAAGATCATACATCTCGTCTTGAATCGCATTCATCCTTCTTCTCATGAACCCTGTCCAAGGGTTTTGCTGGATCCCGTCCCCGATAATGAAATCCGATTGGGAGGGGGAGGAGGAGGAGAAGGAGGAGGAGGAGGAGGAGGAGGAGGAGGAGGAGGAAGAGGACGAGCAGGAGGAGGAGGAGGAGGAGGAGGAGGAGGAGGAGGAACAGACTTTCGTCCAAAATCCCCCTAACGTAAGGAGGGCAGGCCCGACTTAACCGCAGCTCGGGGCAGCACTCCGCGGCGGCCGATCGGGACGGCCCGGGCGCCCCCCGGGAGCGCCGCCGCCGGCGAGGCGCGGCGGCCCGGGAGCGCCCCGAGGGCCCCGTCGAGGGCCCCCAGACCCAGACCCCCTCGAGCAATGACAAAAATCCTGACGGGAGGTTGTTTTTTCGCCGTTTTCGGCCTCGGGGGGCCCTCGCCGGGCCTCGGGAGCGTCGAAAAACGACTCGGGATGACAAAGCGGTCCCGGGGAAGGGGTCCAGACCTCGGGGGGTCGACGTCGTGACAAGAATCACGACGTCGGGGCCCCCGGAGACCGACCACAGCAGCAGCAGCAGCAGCAGCAACGACAGCAGCAGCAGCAGCAGCAGCAGCAGCAACAACGACGACGACGACAACAACAACAACAACGACAACAACAACAACAACAACAACAACAGCAACAGCAACAGCAACAACAACAACAACAGCAGCAACAACAACAGCAGCAGCAACAGCAACAGCAACAACACCAACATCAGCACCAGCAACACCACCAGCAGCAACAACAATACCACCAACAGCAATGACCATAACAACAACAATAACAACAACAACAACAACACCAACAACAACAACAACAACAACAACAACAACAACAACCACAGGAACCACAGGAACAACAACCACAGCAACAACACCACCACCACCACCAACAACAACAACAACAACATCATCAACATCAAGACCTCTGGTCGTCAGCTCTTCACGACGGCGGTCGCGGAGAGCCTCCCGCCGTGCCCTCCTCCCACGGCGCCTGGGGGGGGGGAGGGCCCTGGCCGCCCGGCCTGCAGAGGAGCGCGGAGGGGAGCGGCACGCAGCTCGACGCCGTGCGCGCCGCGCAGACGCGGTCGGTCTGCGGCGCCCCGGACGCCGGGGGCTGCCTCTTCGCGGTGCCGCTGGACGGCCCGGGCGGCGGAAGGCCGGAGGGCTGCGCACTCCCCAGGCCGAGAGGGCTTCCGTAGTTTGGGGGGTTTTCGGGCGCCCCCGGCGGTGCTCGGCGGCCTTCCTGCCGCGGGGATGTTCGACGAGAAATAAGGCACACCCCAAGAATTCCCCCAAGGAGGGCAAATTACCCCAGTGCGACCCTACCTAGGAGTTGGAGCCCCTAGGAAAGCAGCATTCGTTGCTATGCTATGCTATGCTATGCCATGCTATGTTGCGCTATGCTATGCTATGCTATGCTATGATATGATATGCTGCGCTATGCTATGCTATGCTATGATATGCTATGCCAAGCTATGCGATGATCTGTCATGATGCGCTGCGCTATGCTAAGCTATGCTATGCTATGATATGCAAAGCTGCGCTATGCTATGCTATGCTATGCTATGCTATACTATGCTATGCTATGATATGCTGCGCTATGCTATGCTATGATATGATATGCTATGATTGGCTATGTTATGCTATGCTATGCTGATGCTGCGCTGCGCTATGCTAAGCTAAGCTAAGCTAAGCTAAGCTAACCCTCTAGGCAGAGCCTAGGTAGGGAATTACACCCATGCTGTGCTGTGCTGTGCTGTGTTGTGCTGCGCTGCGCTATGCTATGCTATTCTATGCTGCGCTATGCTATGCTATGCTGCGCTATGCTATGCTATGCTGGGCTACGCTATGATACGCTGCGCTGCGCTATGCTATTCTACGCTATGCTGTGCTCTTCTCTGCCATGCTAAAGCTCAGCGAAGCTAAGATGAAGGTAAGCGAAGCTAAGATACACCTGAACTAAGATGTAATAAGCTAAACTAAGATGAGATAAGCAACGCTAAGCTAAGGGGACGTAACTGGGGGAACCGCGGGGCGGATACTGGGGGAACCGCCCGGGGCGAGTTGCACTGCCCGGCCCCTTAAGCATACCGAGTAAGAACCCTTCTAGGCAGAGCCTAGGTAGGGAACAATACTCAAAAATAGTCCCCCGACTATCTTTGGATTATTGCTTGATTATTTTTGGGGTATGTTTGATTTTTCGCCGAAAATCCCCCTGTAGAGGGACAGGCCCGGCTTAACGGTAGTTGTGAGGGTTCCGGGCGCTCCCGGCGGTGCTCGGCGGCTTGCCTGCCGCGGGATGCGTTTTCCAGCGGCTGCGCCTCGCCGAGAGGCGCCCGGGGGTGTTCGGCTCGTGCCTTAAGTGGCCGCCGGAGGTCTGAGGTTTGGCCCGAGCGCCCGACGTCGGGCGCGCCGTATACTTTCTGGGCGATTCCGTGAGTAGGGCGGGGACCTCCGCGCTACGTTTGCCAGGGTTCTTGGATGTCGATTTCTTCGCATTGCCGTCGCTGTGCCCGCCATGCCTTTGCAGAACTACTCGCCCTATTGATTCTGGGGCGGGAATTTCCGCCGTACTTGTTTACATCTTTTGGGGTGCATTTCCGACACATGCTTTTGGTCAGAGAGTCATCCAACGCACAGCTGGAGTCAGGAGACCCCCTCGGCAAGCAAAACGCCGCGGTTCCCGGAGGTTCTCGGTCGTCGGTTCCTGGAGGTTTTCTAGCCTCGCGGGGCGCTTTCAGCGGCTGCGCGCCCGTGGAGGGCGTTCTCAGGGGTGCCCAGATCGTCCCACACGGCCACAGGAAGCTCGAGTCATGACGTGAAAACCCGGACGTCCTCGCGTCGCCCAAAAAACGTAAGGTTTTTGTTGTTCTGGTTTCAGCCTTGGGGAGCCCTCGCCGTGCCCCGGGGACTGTCAGGAAACGGCTCGGGATGAGAAGCCAGTCTCGTGGAGTTAGGGACAAACTCGCATGACGACGGGGTTCTTCACCACCCACCAAACCACCCCAACCCAACCCGAAGGCTCAGATTTACCCTTCGATTTCCAGTGGGGGGGGGTCGGGAAACGTCGAAAAAACACATGTGGAACCCTTACCCCCCCCAACCCGAAATTCGGGTCTTCGGGTTGGGTTGGGGTGGTCTGGGAGGTAGTCAGTTCTGCGTCTGCAGTTTTCATGGATTGAGTTTTCGAGCTCCTGCGGACCTAGTCGTGGCCGCGCCCCGACGTGGCCCGAAACACAGGCCAGGAGGGGCCTGGTGGGAGGAGGTCCCATGCTGAGCGGATCCTGGGTGAAGCGCTGGCGTTGGAGGTCCGCGCTGTTGTCCGGGTCGGCGCCAGAGCATCTCCCGTCCCTACTCCGCGTGCGGCGCCTCTGGTGCCGCCCCCAGCGCGCATCCCACACGGGGGAGAGGCTCGGGCGGCGCCAGGACGATGACGAGTCCGTTCCAGGGGGTGCCGGAACGCTCTCAGAGCGTTCCGGAACGCTCTGAGACGGCCGCGGCGCCCGAGACATCTTCCAGAGCCGCCAGATCTCAGGTCATTCTCGATTTACACCCGATTTCATCCGCGTCCCAGCTTCGTCTTAGAGGGTGTGGGGAGAGGGGTCCAGCGCGTCCGAGGAGATCCCGCGTCTTGAAAACGGCGTTTTCGTTCGTTCTCAAGGTTGATGTTTTTTTCTTTGTTTGGCAAGCAGTTTTTCTCTGTTTTGGGATTGCCGTCTCGCCGTTTTCGATTCGTTTTGCGATCCGTTTTCTAACTGTTTTTAACTGCCGTGGTTTCGTGCCTGTTTCCCGTTTCTGTCAACTGTTTTCTGTTTTGTTGGGTTGTCGTATTGTTTCGGTCTTGGGAAGCTGTTTTCAGGTCGCTTAGGGGGCCCAGCCAGTGTCGTTCTTGTTGTGTGTTCGGCTTGCCGTTTTTGTTGTTCTTGTGATCGACCGCAGTACGACAAGTTGAACGCGGAAAAACAGCGCCCCCCAGCGCTTCTGAGAACAGCTAAGGTCCGGCCGGACTCGGGCACACGTCCCCGCAGGGGCGGCGCGCGCGCTGAGCAGCCGTGCGGCAGAAGCACCGTGGCGGGCGTGGTCCGGCCCTGCCGCCCAGACCACGCTGCAGTCGACCCGCAGGGTAGGGACGAGCAACTTTCCAAGGCTGCCTTGGAGAGTTGCTCCACGATCTGTGCCTACACGCTTCTCTATGGGGGGGGGTCTGGATCGAAACGTCAAACGATGCTTCTGGGGGGGGTCTGGGTTTTGGTGCGCTTGCGCCGCTCTTGGGGGAGGTCCACAACGAGCCGTCGAAAACTGTTTTGACCCCCCCCTATTGTTCACCACCCACCAGACCACCCCAACCCAACCCGAAGGCTCAGATTTACCCTCGATTGCGAAGGCCTTACGGCCGGTGCCGCCGACCCTGAATGGCGACGACGACGACGAGCGCTCTTGGGGGCCTCTTGGGGGTAGTTTGTGGGCCTCTTGGGAAGGTCTTAGGGGTCGCTTGGAAGCCTCGTGGGGGCCTCTTGGGGCTTCCTGGGGGTCTCTTGGAGGGTGCCTAGGACGTCTTGGAGGCTTCTTGGACGGTCTTGGGGCTGTCTTGGGCGTTTGCGGCAGATCTTTGGGCGACTCGGGGCCCTCTTGGGCCGTCTCGGGGGCCATCTTGGGCATTCGGACCTCATTTGGAGTGTTTTCGAGGTTTCTAGGCCGCCCGAGGGAAAACGAATCTGCCCCCCCACCCCCCCCGGGACACCCCCCGGCCCGGGACCCCCCCCGGGACCCCCCCGGACCCCCCCCCCTGGGGAAGGGATCGAAGGGAAGGGGCTTCCCTTCGACTCGATTACGACACTGCTAGATTTTTCTCTCGCTCACGAGCTTGAGAAGGAAGCTGCAGGGAAAGGGGACGACGGAGGCGACGACCGACGGAGACGACGACTCGAACAGCCAAGCCCCTCGCACACGCTGACAGGGTCGGCGGATTTCCAGTGGGGGGGGGGGTCGGGAAACACCGAGAAAACACGTGTGGAACCCTTACCCCCCCCCAACCCCGAAATTCGGGCCTTCGGCTTGGGTTGGGGGTGGTCCCCAGAGATCCGACGTCGTCATTTTTTCAATGCGCGGTCCCCGGAAGTCTCGACCCATTCCCCAGGACCGGTTTTTCATCCCGAGTCGTTTTTCGACGGTCCCGAGGCCCCGCGAGGGCCCCTAGGGGCCGAAATTTGCGAAAAACCTCCGTCCTGATTTTTCAAGACGTTGGATCTCTGGGTCTGGTGAGCCCTGCTTTGACCTGCTGAGCCTAAGGTCTTGGTTCAGCTGCCACCGCGTTTCACCACGAGAGTTCTTTATCGCGCATCTTTGTTACCCGATGTGGTTGTACAGTTATCTTGGCTATTTGTATACTTCTAATGTCCACGCTAGCCGGGTGGACGCCAGCGTGTCGCCACTTCGGGGGTATGTCTGGTAGGTAGTCGATTGTGAGATCTGGAGTGCCCCCTGCATCCCTGCCCCTTCGGCCCCCATCCTTGGCGCCTCTCGCTGGCCGGCTTCCTCGTTCGAGAAGCCTTCGCGTGGCCCTCCGAGGCCCTCGCGCCCCTACGCCGCGCACCCTTCGCGTGCGGGTGGACCGCGTGCACCACGCCGCAGTCCCAGACTTCCTCGAGTCATGACGAAAATCACGACGGGAGGTTTTTCGCTATCTTCGGCCTCGGGGGGCCCCTCCCGGGCCTCGGGACCGTCAAAAAACGACTCAGGACGAAAAACCGGTCCCGGGGAATGGGTCGGGACCTCTGGGGGTCGCGCCATGGAAAAATGATGACGTCGGGGGTCTGGGGTCTGCTTCCACTGGAAGCTCTGGGTCGGCGCGCGCCTCCGAGCGAGGCACGCAGCAAGCACCAGCACGCCCTTCCCCGGGCCTCCGCGGTGTCTCGCGTCTTCGAGGCGGGAGCTCTGGGCCTCTTCCCCGGGCTCGGTCTCCCCTGTGCGCTTCCGGCGGCTCCGGGGCCCGGCGGGGAGGAATAGGAGGCTGGGGATGGGGAGGCAGGGGGAGGAGGAGGAGGAGGGGGAGGCGGAGGAGGAAGAGGAGGAGGAGGAGGAGGCGGAAGAGGAGGAGGAGGAGGAGGAGGAGGAGGAGGAGGAGGAGGCGGATGAGGAGGAAGGAATGGAGGAGGAGGAGGAGGAGGAGGAGGAGGAGGAGGCGGAGGAGGAGGAGGAGGAGGAGGAGGAGGAGGAGGACGACGACGACGACGAGGAGGAGGAGGAGGAGGGGCCCTGGAGGCCGCAAAAACGCCGAGAACCGCCGTTCATTACGGGCCCTGGCCGCCGCCCCCCGGCCGCGGCACGATCCGGCCGGACGTCCCCGGCGGCGTCGGCGCGCAGCGCGCCGTTACTGCCCCCACCCCGACTCCAGATCCGCCCTACTTTTGGTTTTTTTCGAACTTAAGATTGTGTCGGAAATCCACTTCCCAGACCTCCTCGCGTCGTGAAAAAATCACGACGGGAGGTTTTTCGCCATTTTCGGCCTCCGGGGGCCCTTCCCGGGCCTCGGGACCGTTCAAAAACGACTCGGGATGAAAAACCGGTCCCGGGGAATAGGTCTGGACCTCTGGGGGTCGCGTCATGAAAAAATCATGACGTCGGGGGTCTGGGATTGTGTCGGAAATCCACCTATAAGAGGCCGAAAGAGTAGGGCGGAAATTTCTGCACCCAACATAGAGTGGGGCGGACATCCACAGAAGCAGGGCGGAAACAGCATCAGAAAAGTAGGGCGGAAAGTGGCATCAGCGGGGCTTGAAAAGTGAGGCGGCAAGTCCACAGAGCAGAGCGGATCCGGAGTCAGGGCACCCCCTCGGTAATGTCCGCTGTCGCCCGGCCATAAGAAGACGCTGTCTCACGAGTGCTCTTATATGTTGTCTTGCAGGACGCCCTGGTGGGCGCGGTCGACGGGGGCGGCCTGGTCGTGGCAGACGTCCTCACCGGCCAGGCGTTCCGGGCCTCCGTCTCGCGCAGCCCCGCCGGAGGCCGGAAGGTCCAGCTGTTCGCGGGCGAGGCCTCCTCCTCCCTCGCCCTCCTCCTCCTCCTCCTCCTCCTCCACCTCCTCCTCGGACCTTCTCCTTCTTCCCCCTCCTCCCTCGCCTGCCCGTGCCCTGCAAGACGCATCTCAGAGTAGTAGAGGCGTTTAGATGCGATCGCGCCCTGGTGCAGGCGAGCAGCCTATCGTATGTAATACTGTGTAGATGCGATAAGACAGATCTTTTGTTTTAGATGCGCGCCCCCGGCCTGCACGGAAGCGCCGCCGTATCTAACGCGTATCTACTGTTCAAGCATATTCAAAACATTGGGACCGTATCTATGTTTCTTCAAGAAACATGTCTTATCGTATCTAAGTCTCAGAGAATGGCGCTGCTGCGCCGTACCCATTCTTTTCTAACTTGATCAGAACGAATGCTGTTTGCTGTGCTCTCGGAGCGAATCGGATCTATGATACAGGTCGAAGCAATGAGCAAGGATGGGGATAGTGTGAAGCCGTAGCGATGAGGCGTGAGGAGATGAGCGACGATGACAAGGCCGACGAGGAGTAGGATGGATAACATCGGTGAAACGAGATCCAGGAGAGAACTGGGAAAGAACAGGGAACGCTAGGAAGGGGAAGAGCAGAGGGGAGGAGGAGCTGGAGGACGAGGACGAGGAGGATGCGTCAGATCGAAAGTGAAAAGGGGTGGTGCGGGCAAGGAACAAGAGAAGGTGAGCACGCAGGAGGGCGGACGAGGAGGATCCAAGAGGAGCGAGGAGCGAAGAGGGTCGATCGGGGGCGGGCGCAGAAGACTCGAGGGACGACCGCGGCGGCGGTAGGACGAGGAGGAGCAGGAGGGTAGCCACTGCGGGGGAGTGCCGACGAGGTGGACGAAACTGGGGGGCAGAACGCGGGACTCCTGAGGGCGAAATTGAGGGGAGTATTGGGAAGTAGGAGGAGGAGGAGGAGGAGGAGGAGGAGGAGGAGGAGGAGCAGCAGGAAGAGGAGGAGGAGGAGGAGGAGGAGGAGGAGGAGGAATATGAGGACGAATCAGAAGCGTGAGAGGGGGTCAGCGGTTGAGTTCTGCGACGCGGAAGCACCGAGGGACGCGGCGACGCCACTGGGCCCGACGGAGTTCAGCTCCGAGCGCTCGGGGCCGCGATCGATCCCAGGCTCGACGCTCGGTGCGGTGTCAAAGACCGGTGCGCGCGCCCGACGCCGCCCCCGAGCCCGCCCGTGCGCCGCCGCTGCTCGCCCTCCCTGCGCGAGGGCGCCGAGAAGTTCGTTCCGCCAAGTGTTTTGATAGAAATGCTACAGCTAAGGACCTGAGAACTCGACAGGCCGACGCGCCACAGTCTACTGCAGCTGCGGCAACAGTGTTTGAGCTCCGTAGAGCTTGCTTCCTGCTTCACTCCAGTTCACGAAATCGTTATCATCTGGGAGAATGCACGGCTCAGGAGGGAACAAAAACACACAGACACAATTAATCCTCGATTCCCCAGAAAATATTGGAAAATATGGGCACTGCCACTGGGGGGGAAGACAAAAACCCAGAAAATATGGAAAAAAATTGGGATATTTTTATTTGTGTGTATTTATTTGTGTGCCCTGGGGCCCCTTCAACGGCGCAGGCCACAGGCGCCGGAGGCAGGCGCGGGCGGCCCCGGCCGGGCGCGGGCGGCGCGTGGCAGGGCAGCTCCTCCTCCTCCTCCTCCTCCTCCTCCTCCTCCTCCTCCTCCTCCTCCTCCTCCTCCTCCTCCTCCTCCTCCTCCTCCTCCTCCTCCTCCTCCTCCTCCTCCCCTCCCCCTCCTCCCCCTCCTCCCCTCGTCCTCCCCTCCTCGGGTCGCTCAGCGCGGTGCGATGGCGGCTGGGGGCGCGCCTGGGCTTGGCCACGCCGCGCCCCCTTTCGTCCGCGCGCCAACGGCCACTCTTACCCAGGGCCGCCCTTGCGTATAAGCCGAGAGGAGCCCTCCCCGTGCACCGTGCGCGAGAAAGAGGCGCGCGCGAGGCCGAGAGGGAATGCCCATGGGGAGTGGCCGCGCGAGCGTTGGCGGGATGGCGCGGCAGCGCCTCGCCGCGGGGCCCCCGAGAGGCCCCCGAGAGGCCCCCGTGGCGCAAGGGCGCGCCTCGGCGGTGCGGCGCGCGGGGGGGCCGCAGCGAGCCCGCGCAGGGCGCCGGCCCCTCGGAGGCCCAGGTTGAAGTCGGGCCCGTCCCTCTTCAGGAGGGATGCTCAGAAATAGTCAACGAATAGTCTGGGGACGATCCTTTGACCTTTTTCAGAGTAGTTGCATGATTTTTGAGCATCTGTGCTTCTTCGTCCAAACTCCGCTTGCGTGGGGGACAAGCCCGACCTGAGCCTAGATAGGGGAACGAACAATGCCACGAAAATAAAAACTCGGAGGTCCGCGCGGATTCCTCGGATCCGCGCTGGACCCCCCTGGCGGCGCCTCGGGCGCCGCCCCTGGCGCGCTCCGCGCGCCAGGAGGGGGGGGGGTCCAGCGCGGATCCGAGGAATCCGCGCGGACCTCCGAGTTCTTATGTTTATGTCGCTGTTCGTTCCCCTAACCACCGGTATCTGCGGTGTCTCCTCCGAGGGAAGATGATCCCGATCTCGGTGGTGGTGGCAGTACTCGTGCTTCCCAGGTGGCTGAACCATTACCACCAAGGCCAAAATCTAAGATCGAATTCCTTCCCAGGTGGTTGCAAACCCCTGTGTTACAGTGTTGGTGCTGGCGCCCATCTCCAAGCCTCCAAGGCCCAGCGACGCCGGCAGAGACGCCGCGGGGCGCGAGGAGGATTTGCTTGCTGGTCGTGGCCCCAGCGACTCCAGCCGAATGCCAAAAGGGATAGGGAGGGGGAGAGGCAGTCGGCGGGCAGGGGGAGGTAGAGGAGGGGCCGACATGAAATGCGGAGGATTCGCATGCTGCTGGTCGCCCCAGCGATTCCTTGGCCGAGGGATGAAAGTCGGCGGCGCGCCTGGGGGGGGGGGAAAGTGAGAAGGGGCGGGCCTTCCTCAGAATGTTCGGAAGTCCTCCGGCCTTCTGAGAAGTCCCCCAAGCCTTCCCCGAAGACGCAGCGCAGAAGGTGCGAGGGCTTCCGAGAAGTCCCGCCGCCCTCTCAGAAGGCCTTCTCCTTCTCACTTTCCCAACCTCGCTCGCCGCTGGCAGCAGGCGGGGAGGGGGACTCGGAACTGGGGGCCCAGACGCCCGCGAAACAGCCCCGTGCGGGGATCCCGTGCCGGGGCTGCGCGGAGCGCTGCGGCGGGCGGGAAGGTCCTGGATCCTGAGCCCTTCGGAGGCGCATGGCCGGCCTGCACTTACGATGCAGGCAGGCAGCAGGACGAAGCAAAAAACGCAGAGCAGCCTGGGCCAGGCCGCCCCCCCCAGGCCCGGGAGTCCTCGAGGCAGGCGACGAGGCCCGCGGCGGGCACCGCCCGCCGCAGGGCACGTCGAAGGCGTGCCTGCACACGGCTGAGACGGATCGCCTCGCGGAGCTCAGGCGTGAGGGGGAGGGGGGAGGGGCCGACTTGAAATGCCCCGCGCGCCCATCGCCGTATCCTCTTCCCCCGCCGGCTCTTCCCAGCGCGCCTCCTCCAGCCCGGCATGAGTTCGTTCGCGCGCCCCCCTCCTCCCCCTTCCCCTCCCCCGCCCATCCTCCCCCTCCCTCCCCTCCGCCTCCTTCCGACTTGCACCGTCAGTGGTGCTCTTGCCTCATCCTCCTCAGTCCCCTGCTCCTCGTCCTCCCCTCGTCCTCCCCCTGCTCCTCCCCCTGCTCCTCGCCCTCCCCTCGCCCTCCCCTCGCCCTCCCCTCGCCCTCCCCTCGCCCCCCCTGCTCCTTTGCCCTCCCCTCGTCCTCCCCTCGTCCTCGTCCTCCCCTCGTCCTCGCCCTCCCCTCGTCCTACCCTTGTCCTCGCCCTCCCCTCGTCCTCCCCTGCTCCTCGCTCCCCCTCTCCCCTCGTCCCCCTCCCCCTCGTCGCGAGGACGCCGCCGCCCCGTGCTGCAGCGCCGAGCCGTCGCTCCTGGGCCCGCACGCCGCGCCCGGGAGCTTCGAGCTCTACGACGCGGGCGGCCAGCGCTGCGGCATCGTGTCCCCGCACGGCGAGGCCACCGCGGGGCAGGGGAGGAGGAGGAGGGGGAGGAGGAGGAGGAGGAGGAGGAGGAGGGGGAGGAGGAGGAGAAGGAGGAGGAAGAGGAGCAGGAGGAGGAGGAGGAGGAGGAAGAGGAGGAGGAGGAGGAGGAGGAGATGGGAGGGGCCTGCCCTGAGACCTGGGCGTCGCTCAACGAAGAACAAAAACACAAGCATAAGCTTCTGGCGCTCCGCGCGGATTCCTCGGATCCGCGCCCCCCCCCGGCGGCGCCTCCGGCGCCGCCCCATGGCGCGATCCAAGAAACCCGCGCGGAGCGCCAACAGTTTGAGTTTATGTATGTGTGTTGTTTGATTATTTGTATTATTACTGTTCTAGTTTATGCTTATGCTTCAGTTTATGCTTACGTGTCTTTTCTTCTTCTTCTTCTTCTTCTTCTAGTCGCAGTTCTTTCTTCCCACCAAGCGCGCGTGCGCCCCGTGGTGCAGTCAGGGCCCAGAGCGTGCGAGAGGGGCACGGGGGGCTCCTCTGCGCAGGCGGCGCGCGTGCCCTGGCTGCTTGCTGCCACGGAGCTGCGAGGGGCAGGAGGCCTTCGCCTCCTTCCTCCAGGAGGTCCCCTCTGTGGCCAGGGGGCGGGGAGGGCGAACGACGAGCGAACGAACGACGACGACGCGCGAGAAGAAAGAGGTCCAGGCTCTAGAACACAGCCCTGACGCCGGATCCGCCCTACTTTGGGCCATTTCGCAAGTTGGGCCTGGAATTCCCGCCACACTTTTCAAGCCTTGACGATGCCAATTTCCGCCCTACTGGACTTGACTAGAAACGTCAAAAAGTAAGGCGAAACTATCAGCCTTGCTTCTGGGGGGCGGAATTTTCCGCCTTACCTTCTCGGCTTCTTAGATGTGAGTTTCCGGCGCCATTTTGAGCTGAAAAAAAGCCAAAGTAGTCGGGCGAAGAGAACTATGCACATGCACCGATCCTGGCAAGGCCCACCCTTGACCCAGGATCGGTGCATATGCCTTCCTGGCCAAGGCAGGAGGGCGTATGCACCGATCCTGGGCTTAGGATGGGCCTGGCCAGGATCGGTGTATGTGCACAGTTTTTTTTCCTCTGAGTAGGAGCTGTGCAGGAGAATCCTAATCGCCTCCGGCGGTTCCCGGCGCTGCCCCGAGGGTCCCGGGCGGCCCGGGGCGCCCACAGAGCCGTCCCCAGACTGCCCAGCACTGCAGCCCCAGAGCGTCCCCTGAGATCACAGGTATGTTTTACGAGGAGGAGGAGGAGGAGGAGGAGGAGGAGGAGGAGGAGGAGGAGGAGGTGGAGGAGGAGGAGGAGGAGGAGGAGGATCACTGTACACGCAGGAGGCATCAACGATGTGGCATGAAACCCTCCCTTCACGTGCCCTCCTCATAACTCCCTGCAATAGTTTACGCTCGTAGCCGGGAAGTGCCCCGTTAGACGACAAATGTCTGCGAACTTTCATCCGTGTCACAACACAGTTCTTGGGACTTCAACGCTTCGGGTCAACGTAAGTCTTGCGTCCTGGCAGCCTTAACTCGTGCCAGAACACCGCTCCTGGGACTTAACACCGCGAATCCTTCAAGCATTTGCTAACGTTTGAGACGACGGTGTGCGGCGCTAAGACGAGAGCCACATTTTGAACACCACCTGCCCTCCATCCGTGAAGCTGCTGCAAGCTTTTGAGACGAATGTGCGTGGCGCCAAGGCGAGAACCACAGTTTGAAAACGATCTGCCCTCCATCGTAGAAGATGCAACTGTGCGCGGCGCTACAGTGATAGCCACATGTTGAATAGCACCCGCCTTCCGTCCGTGAAGCTGATGCATACTTTTAAGACGAATGTGCGCGGGTCAGGCGAAAGCCACATTGTGAAAGCCACCCACCCTCCATCTGTGAAATTGCTGTAGATCTCAAGCTTCATCATTACAAATGGTGAGGAGGTCTCAGGCGACACCGGCTCACCCTACCGACATGCTTGGGGTTGCCACGGGGAGGAGCTGCTCATAAGGAAAAGGGATGGAGGAGGAGGGGGAGGAGGAGGAGGAGGCGGATGAGGATGAGGAGGAGGAGGAGGAGGCGGAGGAAGACGAGTGAGCACGAGGAGGAGCGAGTAGGAGTGCCGAGGAGAGTGGGGATCGAGGACGATGAAGAGGAAGGAGGAGGATGATGAGGAGGAGGAGGAGGAGGAGGAGGAGGAGGAGGGAGGATGGCAAGGAGGAGGAGGAGTGATGAGCGAGTACAGGCGGGGAGGACGAGGAGGACCCGGGAGGAGTGATGCGGGGCCCGAGTGCGGAGAGGAGCGCCTCCGGCGCCCGTCCGCGGCGCGCTCCGCGCGCCAGGGACCAAGGGTCCAGTGCCGACCCTTTCGTGCTCGTGCTCGTGCTGTCGTGCTGCTGGTCCTCGGGCTTCGGTGGGGGGGGGCCTCCGGGGGCCCTTCTCGCCTCCCTCCCTCCCTCGCTGCAGCTTTCTATTTCTCTCGCTCTCTCTCTCTCTCTCTCTCCCTCTCTCGCTCCCTCTGCCCCTCATCCCTTCTGGTCTCTCTCTCTCTTTCTCTCTCTCTTTTTTTGTTTTCTCTCTCTCTCTCTCTCTCCCTCTCTTTTTCTCCCTCCATCCCTTTCTCGTTCCCTTCATATCCTTTTCTCATTCTCCCGCTCTCTCTCTCTCTCTCTTTCTCTCTCTCTCTCTCTCCTCTCTCTGTCTCTCTCTCTCTATGTATATATATATATATATATATGTGTGTATATATATATATATTCCCCCCCCCTCTGCCGGCGAGGGGTCCTTTGCCGTGCTCGCCGAGGGACAGCCGCAGCTCGTCATCGACGGCAGTGGGTCGGACTGGACCCTGCGCATATCCTCGCGTGACGTTCGCAGCACCGCAACGGTCTCGCGCATACAGGAGCCCGTTTCTTATCCTCTGGCGATCCCAGGCCCCTTACGTTGTGAACACAAACGCGACGGGAGGTTCTTCGCTATTTCCGGCCACCGGAAGCCCCTTGCCAGGCCTCGGGGCCGCAAACACAAAAAGCTCAGGATGAACAACGGGTCTCGGGGAAGGGGTCCAGACTTAAGTATGGCCTGTCCCCCCACAGGAGGAATAGCCAAAAATAGTCAAACAATTGTCTGGGGATTGTTTTGGGGGGGTATGATTGAGCATATTTGGGGCATTGTTTGGTGTATATTTTGCATTTTTCGTCCCAAATCCCCCTGTAGGGGGACAGGCCCGACTTCGGTCCAGACCTCTGGGGGTCGACGCTCCGACAAAAACCGCGACGTCGGGGGCTTGGGGCAGCGGGCGCCACCCCGGGAAGGGGGGCGGGGGAGGTGGAGGAGGAGGAGGAGGAGGAGGAGGAGGAGGAGGAGGAGGAGGAAGAAGAAAGGAGGAGGAAGAAAGTAGGAGAAGAAAGGAGGGTGGGAGGAGGAGGAGGGAGGAGGAGGGAGGAGGAGGAGGAGGATGAGGAGGAGGAGGAGGAGGAGGAGGAGAGAGGGAGGAGGAGGAGGAGGAGGAGGAGGATGAGGAGGAGGAGCCGGGGAGAGGGGGAGAGAGGAGGAGGAGGGAGAGGAGGGGAGGAGGAGGAGGAGGAGGAGGAGGGAGGAGGAGGAGGAGGAGGAGTGATGAGCGAGAACAGGCGGGGCCTGGGGCAGGGGCGCCACCTGGGGGGGGGGGCGGGGGGGGAGGATGGGCAGGTCGGGCCACGCTTCTCGCCGGCGCCAGCTGGGAACGCCTCCGACCTGTTCCAGGAGGTCAAGAAACACACAGCCACAGTGAATCGTCGATATCCCCCAGGAAAATACGGGAGCATATGGGAAGTGGGGGGGGGAAGACGAAAACCCAGAACATGTGGGGAAACATGGTGGATCCTGTTATTTGTGTGTAATTATTTGTGTGTCCCAGGGCCCCTTCATTGTTCATTCGCAGACGGCGCCGGCGCGAATCGTGACGTGACCAGGGGGGGGCAGCGGGGCTGGTCACGGGCGTCATCGCAAGTATGAAAAGCTACACGCGTCATCGCGGAGCGGGGGGGGGGGGAAAGGAGAAGCGGGGGGTCCAGTGTGCGAGGTCCGAGATGGCCAGGGAGGCGAAGCTTGACGACGACGAGACGAAAGGCATCCGCGCCACAGGCCCAGGCCGAAGGCGCCGAGGAGGAGGAGGAGAGGGCGAGGAGGAGGGAGAGGGAGGAGGAGGAGGAGGAGGAGGAGGAGGAGGAGGAGGAGGAGGAGGCGGAGGAGGAGGAGGAATAGGAATAGGAGGAGGAGGAGGAGGAGGAGGAGGAGGAGGAGGAGGAGGAGGAGGGCGGTCAGAGCTGGCCAATGAGGGAGAGGGGCGGCGTCGACCGACGCTCCGCCCAGGAGCCAGGGCCAGGACCCAGAGGCACGGCCAGGGGCCCGAGGACCCACCGGCCACGGCCACACAGAACGAGAGCGGCCCCGAGCTCCAGAGCGCAGCTGCGCAGGAGAGGGCACGGCCATCCGAGGCCCTGGGCGGGGCGGGGCGGGGGGCAGGGAGGCCAGGCCCCCGGGGGGGGCCCGGAGGCGGGCACGACACGGCGGCCACGGGAGGAGAGCAAGCCGGAGCCCTTGGAGGGGGGGCAGGGCAAGGGCAGGCCAGGGGACAGGGAGGCCCGAGGCCAGGCCTGCCGCCCAGGAGCGGGCGGAGACAGCGAGAGGCCCGAGCTCCAGAGCACTGCTTTTGTGCACGAGAGGGCCAGAGCGAGTCGAGATCCACGTGCTGCCCGGCCTCGACCCGGTGCTCATCCTGGTCTGCACCCTCGCGATCTTGCTCCTCCCCGGCGAGGGCTCCCAGGTCGGGGGGGGCGAACCAAGGCAGCGGCGGCGCTCCCTGGCGCGGTTCCAATCTTCTCTTGGGCCTCTTGGCGGCTTCTTGACGCCGCGGCCGGATCCGCCCCGCCAAACGGGCCAGGATGAACCATGAGATCTTGACGCCTCCTCCTCCTCCCCCTCCTCCCTCCTCCTCCCCCTCATCTTTCTCCTCCTCCTCCTCCGTAGCCATTTTGGCTCAAGATGCAAGATTCCCTGGAGTTAAGTGGATACCGCTAGTCCGCGTCCAGCTTCCAGTGTTTCACACCCCTATTCGGGGACGCCCCACTGCTTCTCCTGCAGTGCCATGGCGCTGGCGCGCAAGGCTGCCCCTGATGGAGGGGGTGGGCAAACGCCGCCCCCGCGTGCTGCGACCGAACGCGCGCCGTGTCTGTGCAAGTCCTG